GAATCAATGCAGCTTTTGGCTTTGTAGCATGAAAAAACCAGTGCTGGGACAGCAAACTGCAGCTTAGCAGCTGTGTAGAAAAACAGACTGATGACACCATATTGCTGCTCTTCTCCATCAAGTTGCAATTGTCCTACAATAGTGAGATCTTTGTAATTTTCAAAAGGCACATAATTAATGCCAGCATGCACAGAGTTGTAATAAAGTGACAAAACCCTCTCATTATGTCTCCTAGTCAAAGCCTGGCTTTTAATAAAGTTTCATTTTATCTACTGGGATGACAGATGAGGAAACAAATATAAACCAGGAACCTTTTAAACAAATTATTTTTGGAAGCTATATAAAGTTGTGATGCACACATTGCCAGACATAAAAGACACACAGAGAATAAATTTCACCCAGGGCAGCTGTTGTTACAGGTGGTGCTTATTGCTTTTGATCAGCTGCTGGAGAATGTTGGTTTTCTCGTTGTTTGTTGTATATGGTGGTTGGGGTTTTTTGACACAGCACACAGATGATTTTAAGGCCATTTATCTCTAACTATAATAAATGTCACACTGCTGTCTGCAGGCACAACAGTGCTAGCAGGTAGTTATACCTGTTTCTTTGAACAACTAAATGCTTCACTAGTAGCACACTAGTTTTGCCTCAAGGAAAAAGAAAAAAAGAAAAGAAAAAAAATATTTATCTCTCTTATGTGGGACAAAGACTCGAAATGTGAGCGAAGCCACCTCTTCCACATGTCCACCTACACATCCACCTTGGTGGCAGCATGCATGGATCTAGACCTACAAATTCTAGCAGCTGGCAACACTAGTCATGAAAACCATAGCTTAGGAGAGTTAAGGATGTGTTAACTGGTAAAGGGACAGAGCTAGAGGGAATGACACAAAGTCAAACACAATTTCAGCTCATACAGTGCATGTGCACAGCCCCTTCTACCACACAGCAGCCTCAGTTAAGAAAAAGCAGTAATGCAAAGAAAAATGTGATGCTGGTGCCATCTCCTCAGCTGTAAGCCAGACTGAGGCTGCTGTCCCACACTGCTGAGGCCAGAACAGGCACAGGCTATGGCAGCCTCACAGCAGATGCTTCAGGGGACAAAGCATCCTTGGCACCTACAAGCCACAGCCTTAGAGGACTGTGAAGCCTTGGCGTGGAAGAGGACCGAGGCACACGGAAGGGCTGATGGATAGAGAAATCCAGTGTGGTGCTGCTGGCCCATCTGTGGCTGAGTGAAGCCCCTCAGTCTCCCAGCTAGCAGCTACCAGAGCCAAGTGCACGTAAGCCGGGACACAGAAGGGCAGGAGGGGGGTCTGAAATGCTGTTTGCTGCCAGTGCATTTCTAGATGCTGACATCCACTTGGGACTGGCTGGTTTACAAGGCTGTTTACAGGAAGACCTGCCCATGCCCCAGGGTGAACCTCACATTATGTTCTAGTCCCTGTCTTTTATTACTGCTGTTGGCACAGGTATCCAGGAAGTGTTTATTTATTGGCGCACTGTTCACTCTCATATTGATGTCTTCTTTCCTACGGAAAGCCTCAAACAAAGCTACAGTTGTCAGTCAGGTCCTTGAAAAGTGCCTGGCTCTCAAGCCTAAGGATCACAATCAGATTTAACAAACAGAACTTGTGGGCCCATTTTTGCTTAATACCCAGTACTAAATGTGAGCTTTATTTTATGTCTTAAATTTTTTTTAATTTCACCTAACTGCACGCGTCTCAAACATCTAACCATGAAATTTCTCCCTCCATGGAGCCACAGTGCAGACCACTGACTGCCAGGCACAGCAGAGGGAGAGATTTGCCCTGAGGGAGGTCTGGGGCAGCACTGTACCAGCCAGCAGGGCTGGGCTGGTGCAGCACCCAGAGATGGGGTTCCCCATTGTTTCCTTTGGGGCCAGCCTCACCATTGGCTTCCCCACAGTGAAGGCCAAAGCAGCAGCCAGTAATACCAGCACTGTCTGGGAGAGAAGGTGCAGGCACTGTGAGTGCTGAACAGGCTTGACTGCTGTGAGAACTGTTTGGTCTCCACTGCCAGCAGAGCAGGCAGGGTTTACTCCCCACCCTCACATTCCTCCTTTCCTGCCCATTTTGCTGATTTACCTACCTTTACCTTCATGTTTTGGTTTTCCTTCTATCCCTTCCCTTCAGGAGTATCACTTTTCAACCCCTTATTTCAGCAAGTTCAGTCTCCCCCACGTCTCTCGCCCTGCCCAACCCTCTCTCCTACGCCTCCAGCCCTCTCTCCTCCCCAACTCCCCTTCTCCAGCTCCTGCAGTCACTACACACAGCAACAGCAAACCATCTCTCCGTGCCAGAGCAGCCCAACATCCTGGATCAGCAGCCTGGCAGGATCCAGGAGGTACACAGCAGCTGCAAGGCTGCTCCTGACAGCCTTAGCTTGTTTTCCCATCCAGAATGAACAGGTAGGATGGTCAAGACTACTCTTGGGGCAGCAGCTGGCCATGAGATGACAGACTCAGTGTCCTCATCTTCTGTGCAAAGGCTGCCAAGAGCACATCCCTCATCTGTATCCCATCTTCAATCTCATTCTGCAGCCTGCATGACACAGGGTCCCTTTAAATCTATGCAATAATCTGTTAGCAATTTTGTTTTTACCGTGAGCATTGCAAACACAAGTTATGTGGTCTCGATGGTTAAATTTACCCTGGTATGTATGGAAGAGCAGGGAACAGAAATCCAGAATCCCTGCTGTGCATCACGACTTCAGGACAATTTCTGCCTTGTGCTTACTCACCCATTAGAAGGAAAAACCATGCTAGTTATTTGTATCAACAATGCTCCTGACAAGATGATTTATAACAAGAGTTAAGAAGCACACATTTTGTACCTGAACAAAACAAAGCAACACTGTAATTTATATATAATAGGTAATTTTTATTAAAAAAACCATTGCAACTGACAGAAAAAATAAAGTCTGTGAAATGTGCCATACATTCAAAGAGATGTATTTAAAGTAAGCGATTTCTTATTCTCTGAGGTGATCATTGAAACAGATACTTCCTGACAATTAGAGAACAAAACAAAAGTTCTGTAACACTTTGTCCCTAAAGTACCTTGCAAGAAGTTCTAGAGTTCCTGGCCAAGAGTCCTACTTGCTAAATGCCACATACAAAAGATGACTTAGACATGGTTTCACTGGCTTCTCTTCCAGCATTTGCTGCTCTGGTGTAAATGAGACTGGTCCACAGAGCTCGCTGGTTTAGGTACTGATGACAGACTCAAGAATCCACCCAAGGAGGAATCCCAAAAGGAAAAAGCAGAAATTGTTTTATCCTCAGTAATATCTGTAGTTCAAAGCCAAAGAGGTGGCCAAAAGTGTGCACTCCCAGGTGAAGCTATAACATACAAAAGTATGTTTATTATGAACCATTAATTTCTTACATCCCTGTTTTGCAGAATATTAGAAAAAGACCACCAAATACAAAAATCTTACCATTACAAGTTATTAAAAAAACCCTTCAGACAATTAAAACACACAACAAAGTGTTTGTTTTCTAACAGTAGAAATACAATCCTCATTAAAGCAGCATACCGGAGAAGCCAGTTGTTACGTTTTCAATTAAAAAAGACAAAAGCCCAGATGTTCTTGTAGCACAACCAGAACATTGGAGAAAAGAGAGGAACAAAACATTCATAGTCTGCCATGCTGAGTACATTGTCTTTGTAAGGTCACTTCAGGCCTAGAAGAGTATGGTATCGAACAAAGAGCATGGAGTCAGTGCCTGGGCACAGTATGATTCCCCTCCACTGGACAGTTTGCCACCAATCCAGACAGTCCAGACTCACATCATGAGGTTCCCAAAGAAAGAGCGGTAGGGGAAGTATCTGACTTACACACTGAAGTTATCAAACCTCAGACTTGCTGCCACTGCTAAGAAAACATAAGCTCTTGGGCTATTCTTAGAGAAAAAATGATTCTGAAAAATCTGTCCAACACCTTGCCTGTGGCCAGACAGGACTCACCCAGCAGAGGGAGGAAGCCTCATAAAGGAAGCAGCACAGGCAGAGCTGTTCCTGGGACCAAGGGCATTGCTACAGCCTCCTCACATCACCCGGGGCAGTTTCATGGCTGCAGTGTCACAGCAGGAGCCCAGCAGCCTGGTCACAGCCCCCACGGGTCCACACGAGCAGCATGTCACAGACAGAGTATGCTGACCTATGCTGGCTAATGGCCTTTAGAGACAACATCTACATGAACTCTGCCCTTTCAGCTTTTTCAGTCCCTCTCAGTACAGCCTGCTGATTCTTCTAAAAGAGAAGAATCTCTTCTTTAAGAGCCTAACAGTTCACAACAGTAAAAGGAAAACATGGACTCCTTCCTTGTTGGGCCAATGCACGAAACACCCCAAAACATAACCTGGTTCTTGTTTGGCATTGAACATGAACACAAATTTCAGCCTCAACAAATCAAGCTGTCAGATGCTGGTCCTACTCCAGGGGATACAGCTTTTTCCCTGTCTCAAACTTTTTCATTTCTGAGCCAATGAAAGTGGATCTGCTTCTATCTTTGCAGCTCAATCACATCTAGAAACACTTGCCTGACAATACTGGCAATACCTATCTGCTGGCCCCTTGGTTTGGGAAAGACCCTACAGCCCAGCTTGGTCCTGTGCACAGCTGCAGGGGCAGTGCTGCACCCCAGGTGCAGGGCAGGCTATTCCCACATCCCACAGTTGCAAAGCATGACTACGTAAGTTCCCAGCAGTCTCCTGTGGCTCCTCTTTTTGCCTGGATACTTGACTGGCTGTGCCAGCTCTAGACATGACTCCAGCACCATCAGACCCCCTCCATCATCTCCTCCATGTGTCCTCCTGCAGCAGGGATGAACATCTGCTCACCTCACCCTTTAGCTTTACAGCATCTGTGACCGGCTCATTTCTGCCTGCTCACCTCTTTGCAGGGCCTCCCACCCCCACCTTCTCTCACCAGACACCCTTATAGGGAAAGAGAAAGCTTCTGGATTTGCTCTTCAATACTGCTTCCTCCATCGTGGAGATACTGAATGCTAGTATATGCCAAAAACTTCCCACCATATACAGACATTCTATTATATAAATAGGTAGAAGTTTCAGACAAAATATCCTATAATTTCTGTGGTGTAACATTTTTAAATAGCATTAAAAACACAAACCATCCAGCCCTTGTGATTAAATATACAAACATTTGTGAATTAATAAGGCTTATAGGTACGTATGCAAAAATAAAGTGCCCCTCCCCCCACCAAGAAACAGTTCTGTACAGCTAAGTCTGAAAACAGATCAAGTTATTTAACAGAGAACCTCCCGAGCTGGACGTGCAGCCGTGTTTTCCATCCTTGTTCTCATTTCTGCTTTCAACTTGGCAACACAGGAGTATTTACAAGTGGAAGAAGAGATGCCGTGGCTGGCTCTGCTGACCTGCAACCTGCTCAGCCAAGTTCCTCACAGGGCCTTAGTGCTGGCTGGGTGTGCAGTGTGGGACACGGGCTTCTGAGGGTAGTGGCTGTACAAGTAAACCTGCAACAGGATTGCGATGTCCACAAATACCTGCAGGAGTCCACAGATGGAGAACTGGAAAGGGGCCTGATTCAGGATGAAGTAAATAGTCTTGAACGTGTCCCCACTGGTCCACATCAGCACCATCTTGATACTGAAAGACAGAAGAAAGGGAAGAGTGTTTACTGAGAACTTGGTTTTGGATTAGACCTGCTATGCCAGAGGATCCCACCTACTGCAGGTAGGATTTATACCCAACGTGGGCTGGGACTCCCCTTGACAGGGGCAGACAGCATGCCTAGCCGAGACAGGCAGCTCTGTACTTGAAAGGGAGGATCAAAGTCTCGCTCCAAAACTGCAGCACTCTTATCTCAGCAATTCCAGATCCAAACACCTGTGGCTATGAAGGTATCAAACATTTTAAAATCTCCAGCTAGGATATTTGACTCCGTGGTGCTCTGTAAACATGGCTGCCACATGCTGACAGCATTGACCATAAACTGAAGTACAACAGTGCATGAAAAAGAAGAACAATTCATCCCAGCAGTTACTTCTTGTGTGTGCCATACTGTGCTCATGCAAGGTAAAGTAACACACAGATTGCTCTCTCATGCATGCACGCTTTTAGCATCTGCTGAAACAAACAAAACAGAAGAAACCACCCCTTACTGCAGAAAATGCCTAACTAAAAAAGGCAGACAGACAGATTGTCCAGTAATACAGAAAGAGCAGAAATTACATGCCTGCAGCTGTTACTGGAAGGATGAACAGCACTAGGGATTTTTATCAAGGACACAGATCTAGAGCATTGCTCAGAGTTCCTTTTAATAACCAAACTTGCTTTCATCTTGCTCTTCTGCTAAACATTTCCTGTCCTGTAGTCTAGCTCCTGCTCCCCGACATCAGGAGAAATAGAAGCAATTTCTTCAAACAGACCAAATTATTTTCAGTGTCCTCAACAAAATGCGAACAACCAAACCTGGAAGGCTGTTTCTGAGCTTCATGGACTTTATCAGGAGAGCTTTTTAAGCAGCTGGATAAGCAGCAGTGGACAAAAGCTTTGTAGTTCACAGTATGAGTACTGCATGTGATTGTCATAATTACAAGCAATTTACGTTTTGCCAGCACAGACTCCGTCACACACAGTCAGGCCCATGCAGCAGGACAGGACTTAATGTTCATTTTTCAAACACTCAGGCAGGAGCTCACAGGATTTGTGTTTTGGGCACGAGCACACAACGCCATTGCAAGCCAAATGCTGCATGCCCATTCTTTCCCCACATGGGAAGGATGGACAAAAGCATCAGTTTGTACAGCCCCATCACACCATGGAAACAGGAGCCTTTTGTAACACGCCTCACGTGGGCCAGAGCACAAAACAGGTGTAGACCTTCCACAGAATCTGTGTGGAACTGCAAGCAAGGATATGGGGTTAAGTGAGCATTCACTCCCCACCCAAGGTCATTCTAAAAATGTAAGTAAATAATCAGAAAAAGAAAAAAACTGCTGAACTCTACACGTCATTTGTGCTTGGTGCAAACAGCCTGCACCACCTGCCCTGTGCATGTTCCCAGTCACACCAAGTCACCTTGCATCACACTTACAGGATGTTTATACTTGCAGGTGGTGGTCGTCAAGGAATTGATTGATATTTTAATTAGGAAAGCAATAAACTCTTGGGTAACAAAACTGGCACCTTGCTTGTTGGCAGTCAGTATTTCTCCTCCTTTGATTTTAAGCGTATTAGTGTTTGCTGGGCAACTGATCACAATTTAATTGTGAATCTGTCCTGGCATGGCTAGGCACCCTCACTAAAAGCACATGCTCAACCAGGCTGACCAAACTAACTGCTCACTGTTGACAGAAGGGCAATTCAGAGATACCATGAGATAGCTGAATAGGAATTTTAACAAATATCCTTAATACAAAGGATATTTGTCATTCATTCCCAATGGAGAAAGCCAGCGGGGTATTGTTTGAGCAGAGTTAACCCCCTCAAAGAAAGAACAATCAATCACTGAGGGACAACTTAAGGACACCCGCAGTTCAGCAGCACCACAGGAGCCAAGCACACCTCTAACTGTGGCACATGCTGTGCCAAGTTTGCCAAAGCAAGTTTTGCTAGGAAGCAAGTTTGCTAGGAAACCACCTGTGAACTCAACAGTCTGCAATACCAGCTGGAATACTTGGTGCATGTTCTGAACGTGCAGCCTCTGCACATTCCAGAGCCCACACTTCAGCTCATACATCTGACACTCAAGGACATCATCATGATGCCTGGAGTTCTCACCAGGACATGACAACACTCCATACACATGAAAATCTCAACTTGTCCTTGACAAAAATGATCTTAAAAAATGCTACAGGTAGTTTAAAGAGCTAATGCCACTGGTCTGTCTGTATATCAAAAAACATACATCCTTCCCTGTCCAGTAGCTTGATCAAAGCACCACAGAAAACCTGCAAATCACCAAGGTACAACGAAAATAAAATACAGAAAACGCTTGACATCCCACAACACTCAATCCTGCAGCTGCACCAAGGTTCTCAGGGCTGATGCAAAGTAGTGACTGTGGTAGTGCTGGCTGCCCTCCCAGAGGAGAGGCTGGGACTGGACAAAAGGAGCACGTCCAGCAGAGACTAAAAGGTGCATGGGGTAATCACAAAGAGCTTAGCAAGAAAATGGGGACAGTATCATGCAAAAGGAGAGAAAAGGCAATGAAAGGCCATAGAGGAAAGCAAAGGAGACAGCAGAGGAGCCAAGAGGTTGGTCAGATGAGAAGAGGATAGAAAAAAGAGACTGGAACAGGACAGGGAGTGACAGGAATGGACGAGAACTGTAAACTTGGTACACAAGTCCTTGAAAATGACCTGAATTTGGGGTAGACAGTTTGTATGGCAAGATTTTGGTAGCAGGGGCCAGGGAGGCAGGCTGCAAAGTGACTTCTGTGAGAAGCTGCCAGAAGCTTCCCCTAAGTCCAAGAGAGCCGATGCCAACTGGCTCCGAGATGTACTGGTGCTGATGTACTTGCCACTGGCAAAGGCTGAGCCCATCAATGACAGTGGTAGCACTTCTGGGATAATGTATTTAAGAAAGGGGAAAAAACTGCTGCACTACAGAGCAGCCAGGTGAGAGGAAGAGAAAACATGTGAGTGGAACAGCCCTGCAGACCCCAAGGTCTGCAGAAGGATGGAAAGGTGGTGCCCCAGGCACTGGAACAGAGATTCCTCTGCAGCCCACGGAAAAGACCATGGTGAAGCAGCTGTGCCCCTGCAGCCCATAGAGGTCCATGGAGGAGCACAGATCCACCTGTAGTATGTGAAGGAACCCACCCTGGAGTAGGTGGATGCCCAAAGGAGGTTGTGACCCCATGGGAAGCCTCTGCTGGAGCAGGCCCCTGGGAGGACCTGTGGGTCCATGGAGAGTGCAGCCCACAGCAGCAAAGCTGGAGCAGCTTTCTGTCAGGACTTGTGACCCCTGGAGTAATGGATGGAGCAATCCATTCCTGAAGGATTGCACTCCATGGAAAGGACACATGGGGACCCACACTGGAGCAGTTCATGAGGAACTGCATACCAAGGGAAGGACCCAGATTGAAGAAGTTCATGAAGCACTGTCTCCCTGGGAAGAACCCCAAATGGAGAAGAGAAAGAGCGTGAAGAGGACGGAGCAGCAAAAACAACATGTGATGAATTGACTACAACCCCCATTCCCTGTCCCTCTGTGCCATTTGTAGGGAGAATGTAGAGAAGATAAAATGAAATTGAGCTTGGGAAGAAGGGAGAGGTCTGGGGAAGCTGTTTTAAGATTTGGGATTATCATACTCTGATTTTGATTGGCAATAAATTAAATTAATTTCCTTGAGAGGAGTCTGTTTTGCCTGTGATGGCAACTGGTGAGTGATTTCCCTGTCCTTATCTCGACCCATGAGCCTTCTGTTGTATTTTTCTCTCCCCCTGTCCAGCCGAGGAACAGTATGAGTGGTACGAGGAGTAAGCACCTGGCATTAGCCAACATCAATCCACCATGAGGGTAAAGCTAGGGAATGAGCAAAGAGATGTGTGCTGGCCCAGAACCCTCACCTCACCACTCCAAGCACCCTGGAATACCCCCAGCACTCTAAGTCAGTACATGTCTCACTCCTCCAGTGCCCACTCCAGGGACAGGAAAAGCTACAACTGCTCTTGGTTCTCTCCCATCTCAACCAGTACCCCCACACACAGCCTCAGAGCCTCAGCTTGCTTGGAAACCCATAAAGTGTCTGTGTGGCACCTTAGAGGAAACAGAGCTGGCCCTGCCCCCACTACATTACAGGCCTGAGACAGGCTGGATGAAGCTTACACCACGAACACAGCTTCTGTCAAGTCCTAGTTTCCAGATTCTCAGTGCAATAGTAATAGTCCTCCTCCCAGTATGGGATTTGCAATTGCTTTGTCCTTGCTGCATATGCAGATGTCACTTGCAATGATGCAGTGGTGCGTGTACGACTATGAGGTATGGATGGCATGGATACGCTGCCACTGTTCTCATACCTTCCAGCTATTGTGTCACTTCAGGATGCCACATTGCACAGAAAAGCCAGTTTTTGTCAGCAGCTTCTCAACTTTACCCAGTCACCTGGGGAAGAGAGGTAATTCTTATATTTGGTCTTACTTTTGGGGTAAAAAGACACCATTCCAGCTCGGGCAGATAGCTGCCCCTTACCTGCCCTGGTGGAGAAAAGAGCAGTGAAAAAAGAAGCATTTTACTGCCCAGAAGAAATGGGAATTTTCAACTGGTTGTGGAGAAGAAAGAACAAAAAGGGGAGAACACACCTAAGCCTTTGTTTCACTGCTCTACTGTAACCCTGTATTTGCTGAGTGAATCACAGAATCATCATTAGGTTGGAAAAGACCTTTAAGATCACTGAGTTCAACCATTAACCTAAACTCACCCAACCATGTCAAGTCCACCTCTAAACCATGCCCCTAAGTGGTACATTTGCACATCTTTTACATATCTCCATATGTAAAATAAATATCGTGGATGTCAACCAGCCCCTCCAGGTCCTTTTCTGCTGAGGACCTCTCCAGCCACTCTTTCCCAAGCCTGTAGCTTGGGCTTGTTGCAACCTCAGTGCAGGATCCAGCATTTGGTCTTAGTGATGCTCATGT